ATGAAGAGGAACTACTTTCCTCTTTCAATCTTCATCCTAACCATCACTGCAAGGCAAAAAGATTTCTCCGCTGAATGTGTAAAAGCCTCAACAATGGACATTTTTGAATGTTCTTTTGAGGTTGAAATTGGTTTAGGAGAGAACATTAGCAAAAGGTGTTGAAACATACTCTAGAAGTGACGATCAATTGGGGATTAGAAGGTGCATCGATTGAGGCATCTCTAAGTGGGTGGTATGTATTATCGTGAACGTAAGCTGTGGTCATCAGAGCTGACTCGGTTGCAGCTGGACTCCGTTCTGCATGTCTAGCCTTTATAGAGTGAGACCCCAGGCAAAATCTGGCTATTCCCCAGTTTTACCATGCCGGGAAATCTATGTCCATGGTGTTCGCTCCAACTATGGTGACCCATGGAGATACATTGATGGGATCAGGTCCTCCATTTCCTGCTGAGCAAGAAACAAAAACACTCATCTCCATGGCCCCAAAAGTGGCTATTGACAAACTATTGCAATAATAGGAAGACACTGCCTCCTAGGGAGATCAACAAGATGTTAACACCGTCAGCCACAGTCCAGTCGATTGTTGAAAGAATATATGAGCTGAAACACCCACTATCCCAACAAACCTACTTGTAAGCTGCCACTCTTGCCTTGGGTGCCATTCCTCGGGCTGTCCCTCGAGCATAGCCCAGAAGGTTTGCACCTTCCACAGGAGAGACCACAATGGTGGCTGCAGTATGGGTAGGGTGTCCATCTTGATCTCTTGGCGTTTTATACTCATCTTGCTCGTTGATCTTCTCGGAAGCCATTTCATAGCCATGGTAGAAGATCCAAGCACCCACAATCTTCCTATTGCATTTATGTTTCGTAAAGCCTCGGCTCATCTCACAAGCACCCTTTCAACTTAATGTGGAGGGATTGGACTCATGCCTGTATCATTGAAGCTTGGACCCTTCAGCCATATTCTTGTATCCAGCACTCCCACTACCACATCATGATCAATCAAAGCATCAAACCAGACACTAGTACTGTCTTCCTTTTCAAGCCCCAAGAACATTGGACTCCTCGTGGTGTGTAGGTAGTAGACAGTTTCCTGGTATACATCCAGTGCACCATGTGCCTCTTCCATTCTCTCAGCTTCTTCTTCGCTAAGCCTGACAACAAAGCCATGAAAAGCTGTTTCGTAACTGTAAATCATCCATTGCACAGCTTCTCCTGCTATATTATCATCCTCTGCTGAGTCAGGGTTGGCCAATAATGACTTAAGTTACTTAACAATAGATGCATACCATTTGAAGTGTTGGCGAAGGAATCTGGTATCACTGACTTGTCTATATGAATGATATACGTCTTCTTTGGTGGTGGGACAGTTGTAGTGATAACAAATGTGAAATACACAACAAAAGCACTTTTGAGAAGATGTTGAGGAAGGGTATTTTAGTAATTTTAAAAAATCAGTCATGTGATGTCACATGTGAATGGAGTGTGATGGAAAGTTAATTGCAAGGGAGGTTTCAGACAATTGTTAGACAACTTAAGGGTATTTTAAGACAATATGTAAACAGTAAGCGTAGAGTTAGTCAATTTCCTAAACCATAAGGGTACTTTAAGAAATTTTCCCTTTTTTTTATGAGTATATAAGACAATGAATGGGGCGGCCAGATCTTAAAAAAGGCTTTTCCCCATCTTTTCTACTCTTTCTCTCTTCTCTTCTCTACAGAAACTTCTTTTTCTCTTTCTTTTCTATCACAGATATCAAATCAGATTACTGTTTTCTATTTTCTACTAAAATAAATTTTCATTAAAAAGAAAAAATGGAGATAAAGCACCTTAGATAAGAACCATAACTCCATAACCCCCGCCGCAAAAAAAAAAAAAAAAAAAAAAAAAAAAAAAAAAAAAAAAAAAAAAAAAAAAAAAAAAAACCACCAATATACAACTCAGCCTTACAACAAAAGACCAAGAAGGCCAAAAGCATACAATAGAACTAACACCTCCTTCTAGAAATCAAACATAAGCAACAAAAAACTTACTCAGCAAGATAAGAACTCCAATAAGCTCAACTAACAACACATCCAACCTCCTTACAAAAAAACATGAAGAACAAACCCCCAACCTCCTCTTAATACCCATCGTTAATCTTCCAAGTCTAGGACCTCTACCTGCCCCTCTTCCTCATTCCACACCTCTCCTCCTTCCTCTGGAATAGAACTATTACGATTATCCTCCATAGTTGTCAAGGTGTTACCTAGGCGACTAGGCGCCCTTGGCTGGGTGCCTCACCCAAACACCTTGACTTTTAGAAACTAGGTGCCTACCTAGGCAACAAAAATGACAAGATGAGTGCATTTTATAATATCATTTATATTATTGAATCTTATTAATGTATGTGTTAATACATTTTATTGTATGCTATATATATATCATCTATACTTTGTTTTAATGTTTTACTATTGAAATTTAAAAGATCAAAGGGTTTTGAGGAGAGAAAAAGAAAGAAAGAAAGAAAGAAAGAAAAAAAGAAAGAATAGAATTATAAAGAGGTTCTTTCTTTTTCTATTCTCCCCCTCTCTCTAATTAAATAAAACAGAAACTCTATCCTCGTTTTTTCTGTTTTACTTTCCATCTTGAATATTTATCATATAAAGTTAATAACCTTCTTTAGCTGCTAATTGATATGAAATTGCTCTATTAAATACTTATTATAGTAGTATTATTTTTGAAATTAATGAAATTAATATATGTAATAGATTTTTATCTTTTAGATGTGATGATTTGTCGCATTTTTAGAGGAAATTTAATGTTCTTAATAAAGAGAATTGCTATTTTTCAATTAATATGCATGCTGAATGGTATATAAAACTAGGGAACTAGCCAAACGTTAGTTTTTTATATTATAAAATTTTAATCGCCTAGGCGACTAGGCGCCCCAGTGTTGCCCAGAATCACCTAGACGCCTTGAAAAATATGCTCTCCTCCTTTTTCTTAAACTCCTCAAAAGCCCTTCAAGCAAAAGGCTCACCACCCAGAAGAAAAAGACCCAAACCTTTTCCAACTTCCACGTCCCTCTCTAAAATTTCCTTAAGTCCAACTCCAATCCTTCATTACTCCTTTCCTCTATTCCTCTGTTCAGCTCTCCATCATTCCCCAATGCTTCACAACTACCTTCCTTTTCTTTCACTTTTATGGCTTCATTTCTTTTCAACTCCCCTTTGTCGAAACTTCCATCCCCGCTATTTTGGCCACTAGAGTTAATCTCATCAGGAACCTTATGGTTCGTGTATATGAATTAGCCTTTCTTCTAATGAAAGCTCTCTTATATTTATTACTGTGGCTGGTCCCAACAAGTCCTTTTAGCATTGGGAATACCTTGATAACATGCACAAGATGGGATTTACCCGACCCTCTAGGTTTCTTTGCAGCCACTGAACCTTCACCAGAATCCGCATAGTCAGACACCCCTTCCCAAATAGACTCCAATCCTTCCAACTATTATTTCAACTTTCTGCAGGGGGTTATATTTGTCACCATGGTTTGGGTGGATTTAGACTTTAGTGGTAAAGTAAATAGATTATCAGGAATGTTTACAATTTAGTCAATGCCTCTTTGGTGGATTATAAGCTTTCAAAGCATATATGCTGGTCCATACTCGTTTTGCTTCTGAGATGTTACATTTATAGGTCTCCTCATCATAATATATCTTTAGTTTTCAAGTAAGAAGAGTTAGACTGCAGTTAAGAGTTCAAACTTCAAACCAATTAGTTATACTGATTGACTGCACATAAGGTCATGTTGCATTCCACTATTCCAGTACTACTCCCCTCCACTGTAAGACACACAGTAAAGAAGGGGGGGGGGGGAAGAGAAGACCATTTTAAAACAACTCTTAGAAGCAAATGCTTAGGTGAAACATGAGACACAGAGTTCTAAGCAAGGTTTTTGCTGAGGTGTCAGTGCCATTAATTACTCCTTGTAGGAATACAAGAATAGTTAATAGGTGGATATTCTCTACTATGTATTTGAGATTGCCAAATTCTAAGACTTTTGTTGTGGCCTTGTGGGCAAGTATTCCCTTTAAAAAGATTGCTATCAACATGTAGCAGCCAGCATATACATAACTGCTCCTTAGAAGTTAGAACCATTTAATTTAATTATTGAGGAAAATTAGTCAATTGATATTTTTTTACCTTTATTTTTTATTAGAAGTTTCTGTTGTGAAACTAAAGTCTTCTGTTTGGAGAAACATACCGTGTAGTCTTGCAGATAATTGAGTTTGATGTGAAAATGCCTAATGCATTCTGAGTTATACCATACAATTTAATTTTTCATTTAATTTTTCCCTTTGACATCAAATGCCAAGATAGATGAGCACCTAGTGATTTTGTTTGCTAACTTCTATTTACAGGGGACAATATTGAAATTTCAGATAATAATTTCTCCTAACTAGAGTTTCATGTAAAGCTCACCTTTGGATATCTAGTAAACTTGGTAGCAACTAATATTACCCTTTTTTGAAGAATGTAACAGATAATACCATGGTTTTCAAAACCGGACCGGACTGGATGGTCGGACCGGAAAACCGGGAATCGGTCAGGTGACTGGTTCCGTTTTCCCCAAAAACCAGATTTCCCCCCCAAACCGTTGATTTTGGTCAGCGAACCTTTGAACCAGGCGGTTAACCATTCGAACGGTTTTGACTGTTTTTTATTTTTTTGAATTTTTTTTTAAATTTGTCAGAACGGGCTGAGTGTTCAGTGTGAACGGCCGGACCGTTCGACCCGGTAAACCGGTTCGGTCACCGGGTCGGTTTTAAAAACCATGGATAATACAGATCAAGGAAAGTAACTAATATTTCCTGCTCTCTGCTTTTGCACAGTTCAGGGCTTTTACAATCTTTATATTTTACATCTTAGTCATTTATGCCCACTGAATTTATCAAGTTCTTTATATTTGTTGGTGGCAACTAATATTGCCTCACTCTCTGCTTTTAAACTGTTCAGGGATCTACAATCTTATCTTTCACATCTTAGTATTTTTCTGGCCACCGAATCTAACAAGTTCTTTATATTGGTGGACAATCGACCATGGTCAATGTACCTGGATTCAGGGGCTGCACACTTGTGGCAATTCATGGTTACAAAGGTTGCAAAAATGTGTTTCTTTTTATCACTGTATATTGTTCTTAGACGGTTAATGACATTAATTTGCATTCCTGTACAGTCTAGATTGTCCCCATTTGCAAACACTAAAGCACAAAAAGGGAGAAAGAATCTTGGGAAGAGATTTGATTTCAAGAATAGTTCCATATCCAACACTAGCAAACCAAATGAATCAAAGAGATGGTCCACCTTGGTTGATGCAGCAGTGTTATGTCAGAAGAAAGTTTTGCTACCTGAAAACCTTGGGAATTCTTTACTTTGGAACCATCAGTTAAATCAGACCTTATATGGCTTTATTGTATTTGAAGTTGCATGGACTAGTGTCCGTGGTATCAACTATCTGAATGAGCTTCAGGTACTCACTTGATGCTGTCTTGTCATTTAATTTTTATCTTACTACTATTCTGTTCTGAGAGTTTTTTGTGTCACCAACAGACAGATACATGCATGGCATTAGAGGCTAAATTGATGAAAAGATGGGAATTTGATAGTATAGAACACGCCTCAAGTTCTATCCATTCATGGTTCTCAGGAACACTTTATGAAAGGGTTCTCTTGCGGAAGCACCTATATTCCATTACAGGTATTTCTTTTTGGCTTTCATGATTCCTTGACTTTCATATAAGGATGGGAGGATGGAAAATAGCAAGTATCACAGCCATGGTACATACACCTTGCAGTTTTTGCTTTTCCCTCTTTTTTTCTTTTTTCTTTCTTTTTTTTTTTTATTTTCCTTCTTTTTTTTTGGGGAGGGGGGGGGGTTGGATCCATGCTTCCCACCAAGATACCAGGAAGAAATTATTCAACCAGATATTAACCAAATAAACCATATGGTCCATTGCATGGATGCTAGAACCTATCAGTATATTTTTACCTCAAAAGATACTTTCTCTCAGACCATTAAATGATGGGTAGTAGGCTTCTCAATGTGTGCCACAGGGACAATGCAGGTGGCAAGAACATTCTTTTTTCTTCTACTCTTTAGGCTGACATGAGACTTCCTTATCATTTGTGAATTTCCTTTCAATAACAAACTTTTTGAAAATTTCCAGGAGAGGTCTTCTTTGATGCTCAAGAAGATTTGTCATGGACTCGACCTTCTAGTGATGGTGAAAGCATCTGTTCTGATGTTGGTGGTCTTCTAGAAAAATCTCCTTGTAGCATTGGTAGAAATTTTGGTGTGCGCTTTGCAAATGTGGAAAATAGAACAAGTGCTCTACACAGACTGCCTCCTGCTACCATGCCATGCAAAAGGAGGAATATGACAAAATATGTTAGTTCTGGATATGAAGGTAATAGATTTTCCAAGAAGACTCATGGTGAAATTGTTGATTCACCTATACAGTCAGAGACTTCAACTTCTACTAGTAGCAATGACAGTGAAAACACAGTTGAAGCTTCAGAGTACCGGGATGTTTTGATTTTGTTTAGGTTCAATGACCATGACCTGCCCTTTAAATTGAGGGAAATAATCATGCCAGATGTGCGGTTACTAACTTTATTAGAGTATGGGCTTCCAGCTTGGGTTATTTTTCTTCAGTCATATCCAGTAATTTGTCACCTCTATCGGCCATGGATGTGTCCCCTTGCAAGAGCTTTATATGTTCTGATTTCAGTTGTTACTGTTCTTGTTGGATTTTTTGACTTATACAAAAATGTCCCAATACTGAAAGCCACTGCAGCACACTTGTGTGGACCCCTTTTTGACTGGATAGAAAATTGGGAGATGATATCAAGGATCAAATACTTGGGCACCATTCTATTTTTGCATAATTTTGAGAAAGCTGTTAGGTGGTTCTTAATGGTAACACGTTTTGTCAGATCATTTCTTTCAATTCTAATGTGGCCCATACAGCCGCTTCTGGAGCTTTTGGATTTCTGTTTTCCCCTTTGGGACATATGTTTTGACTCAATTGGGACCTTCTGTTCTGTTATTTGGATTACAATTGGTTCTTCATGCAGCATAGTGGTGGACCTTTTAGAGGTTCTATTTTCACCATTGTGGTTTATAATTTCTGTTATCTGGAGCATTGGTATGTCAGCAGCTGATACAAGAACTATGTTTCAAGTTACTGATATATTTATTAGTTGTTTTTTTATGAAATATTGTATCAATAGCATGCTTTTCTTGTTTGTGTTATACTGCAGGATCCTTAATATACCCGATGTTTTTGACTCTTGGGGAATTACTATACACTCCCATCCGCCTGGTTGCTGCATTAGCAAGTTGTATAACTTTTCTTTACTCCTCTATATTTGATTTTCTGGGAAAGCTTTGGTTGTCCATAAGTATTATCTTCCGGATTGCTTCATCTTCTGAAGCAGCAGTGAGCACCTCTGAGGTTTCAATGTGGCGTACACTGTGGAATGACCTTTTTTCTCAGGTTGTTACAATTGCATTTGGTTATATAGTCTGAACAATGGTAAACATACCTGCTTTCTTCTTAAAAAAGGTAAATTTACCTGCTTTTGTGTTAATTCCAAATAAACTACTTTAATACCTGCAGATTTTCCGTGCCATACGTAGCATCATAAATGGTCTTGCTGCCTTCTTCATAGCCTGCAACAGGCACCGACTAAGGTATGTCACATGTTATAAGAAGAGTCAACCATCTGCAAGTAATATGCATACTAACTGGATTAACTCATCCTCATTGGCAAAAAAGCAAAGAAAAAAAAAAACTCATCTGGTTGTTTTCTAATACCAGGAGTGGAAATTAAGCAATGGATCAATTTATTTAAAACTCTCTGGAAATCAATCCACTTGCATACTTCAAAGCTGTTAGGTTGCATTTGGACTAGGGTGGATTTGGGTTTGGTGGCAGAACTGAATTGTCAACTTAATGAATCTCCGGCTTCTGTAGATTGGGTTCATTTTTTTTCCATCACATGCTTCAATGAAGTAGGGACTTTTAGGTATTTAACCTTTGGTTTCACATTTTACTAGAATTTGAAATGGTGTAGGGACTAGTCATTTCAAATGCACAGGAGCAAGGCAGGAATAGAATTCATATACAATTCAACTTTCCAGGTCACCATTATAGCAGTTCAGCCAATAGGTTAAACCATTTTAACAATAAAGAAGTCGAAAAATGAAACCTGGTTAGCTGTCCAGGTCACTGGTTCAACCATCCAGGTGAACAAGAGTTTGAAAACATTGTCTTTGGATGGACAAGGTTACCATATAAGATGTTTGGCTTACCATATAAATGATTGAATTTCCTATCTATGTCTGGAAAACCCTCAACTTGAACTGCTAGTTCTACATGGAAATCCCAACCCCACTTTAAATTTCTTTTGGTCCCAAGATATTATGGCCCATATGAGGATCAGATTTTCATGATTCCATGGTTTGCATAACATGTGCATTCAGTAATGCATGCAACCAATGTTTTCCCTGACAATTTTGTTGGAATCAAGATTGAAAATAGAGAAAAGAAAACCAGTTGAGAACAAGTTTGTGGTTTTTCTACATTCAATTTCTTCTTTACTGTCAATGCATCTTTACCAAGGGAAAATGTTATTTCTTATTCCTTATTTCTCCTATTTCAGAAAACCAACTTGGTTTCATCTTTCATGCTAGGGAGATCAATCATGGAAGCTATCTTTTAATTGAGATGATTGATAGAAAAGTTCATGGAGAAGAAAAGAGACTTCCATGTGGTGTTCTGTATTCATTGATTTAGAGAAGGCATATGATAGATTTCCTAGAAAGATATTATAGTGGGTTTTACAAAAGGAAAGAGATCAAATAGGTAAATGGACCTAATTAAGGACATGTATGATCAAGCACTAGCCAATCTTAAAATATCTAGGGGAGAGGCATCATAGTTCTTGATTAAATGTGACTCCACCAAGGGTCAGCACTTGGTTCTTATTTGTTTGTAGTAGTCATGGATGAAACTAAACATGTTCAAGAGGAGGTCCCAGATGTATGCTTTTTTCTGATGAAACTTGAGAGGGATTACGTGCAAAATTAGATTTATGGACAAATGCCTTAGAAATAAGAAATCTTAGTTCAGTGATCCCATATCCATAATGAGGGAGAGATACAAGAAGATAACGCCCATAGAGTTAGAGTAGGATGGGGCAGAATGGATGGCTGCATCCAACGTCTCATGTGATCAGAGAATACCACTTAGGCTAAAAGGAAAATTTATAAAATAGCTTTAAGGCCAGCTATGTTGTATGGAGTAAAGTGTTGGGTAGTCAAGAAACAGTATGTTCAAAAATTCAGTGTAGCAAAAATGCAAATTTTGAGATGGATAAGTTGAAAAACTAGAAAGGATAGGATTAGATATTAACTCATTTGAAAGAACCTACCAGTGGCTCCCATTGGTGATGAAATGAGGTTAAGTAGATTAAGATGGTTTGGTCACATGCAGAGAAGACCATATACAAAGTCAATGAGAAGTGATGTCACAAGTTGAAGGGTCTAGAAGAGCTAGGGGGAGGACCTAAAAGAACATGGGTTGAAGTAGTTATAAATGATTCAAGGGAACATAATTTAACAATGGATATGCTTTCTGCTGGGAAGTGTCCTATGGGAAAGTAAACACCTTCGGTAACTTACAAAGAAAAAGACCTTTCCTATGCATCTTGTTAGGTTGAGGGGTTTTATGTATTGATGGTTCGGCTGATAAGTGTTCTTATTAGTCTGTATTTGTGTTTAAGTTGTTATGTACTGGGCCTGTGTTAATGGGCCTAAGTTCATTTGCTGTTTTAAGTAGTCTAGGTGTCCCATCACTAATCAGGGGCATTCT